AGTAAAAACATAAAATTAAAATAAGATAAAATATATTTTAGATTTATAAAAATATAAAATAATCATACTATAAAAAATAACGAACCATTAATTTATACTTTTCTTTTTTTTTTATTATTGATTGCATAGATAATAAATATTAATAATATATTAATATTATAACAATATTATCTATGATTATTGATTATTACTATTTCAAATTTCCGATATATTTAAATAAAAATTTAAAATAACATCAGGATAGTATGCGGTKYCCGTGCCCCTAACTCCGTGGTTGTGTATAGGCTGAAGCCTACACTGCTTACGCCTCAATCCGGGCCTGCAAGCGCCTTATTGAATATCTTGTGCCTGGCACGTGTTGCAGATATTGACGAATGCTTGTTGCGCAACGGRCACGGACCGTGCCAAGGCGCGTGCACCAACACTTGGGGCGGTTACAAGTGTTCGTGTCACGGCATACCGGGCACCAGGCTGGCCGACGACCGGCACACTTGCGACGACGTGGACGAGTGTCGGGACGGCACGGCCGGGTGTTCGCACCAGTGCATCAACACGGTGGGATCCGCGTTCTGCTTGTGCCCGGACGGATTGCAGTTGGACGATGGCTGGAAAACGTGCGTGGACGTGGACGAGTGTTCGGACCCGGAGCTGCAGCAGGCACCGAACGTTTGCACCGAACGCGGCTTGACGTGTCTGAACACGTACGGCTCATATAAATGCGTGTGAAGTGGCGGGCCGAATGTGGATCATAATTATGTAGTAGGCACAATATGAATTACGCTCTATTAAAGATGAATTAACGATGCTGTGTAATGCTATACAACCACTTAATACAACACTGCTAGCAGCATACTCACGTATTACCCAAAACTCACCAATATTAATTTACTAGTCATGAGAGCTGTTGTTATCGTCTGTTGGCTATTGTTATTAATTATATTATCATATAACCCACATTGGTCACATGTTGTTGTTATTATTATTTTATTATTATTTTACCATAATTTGTATATTTTTTTAAGCTTTTGATACTTTACAATTGTATTTAAAACACACGTATACTGCATATTCATTGACTAAATATACGTACTTAACCAATGGTAAGTGTGTGCACGCACACCCTTCCAATTTTCAACTACTAATAATTACGATTAAAATAATCACGATATGTATTTTATGAGATGTATTTTATTATTAACCTGTTATTTAATCAGTAATAAATTTAGTTATATCTACATAAAATGCGTAAAACCACTAGGTATAATTAATCATTTAAACCATAAAAATGTCATAACATTGAGCTCATGCTTATTTAACATATTATTTTAAATATCAAATATTATTGAATAAATGTTTTATTTAATTTACACTGTATGTTTGAAATCCTAAATATCCTACTCAATTTCATAAATTTAACTTTTATACATTATATTTTATTTTTTATTTGTTTAACGAAATATACCCTCGGTGACATAGGCTATTGGATTACAAAATTTTTATTTCATTGGGTTGAGATTACATTATTGACAACTCTATATTATTTACAATGTTCATATTTTATTTTGTAGTTATGCCTATGTGATGAACTTGATGGTAGCTGAAAGTGAAGAACTGTTTTGACCGATATTATATTTGTTAAGACAATAAATTAATAAAGCCATTTAAAAAAACTAAAACTAAGAAAGGAAGTTAGAGTAAATTTAAGCCAGTAATTATATCTGCCACGCCTTGATATAACATAAGAATTAATGTAGTATTTTATCCCAGAAAATATGAGACAATGATAAGACAATTGTACTAAAAATGTAATAAGAATCTCAAATATACAGCGATATCTACTGCTGTAAATATGAAATTGAAGCCTTGGTAGTTGGCCACCGTCACTAATGTGTGCTTCGATCTACATTGTTCGGAGTAGCTGGCACATGCATTCATAACAAACCAAAACCCCTACCCTCACCACAAAATGATAAACACAATCAGTTTAAGAAGCTTAAATACCAATTGTAAAAAAAAAAAATGAAAAATATACCGTGTTGATATGAAAATATTTCGAAGAATAACAACCAGACAAAAACGACTTGTGAATAAATATTCTATGCTTCAAGTGGAATCAAAGGTATCATATTATTACAAATAAAACTTTTTTGTGTTATCAAATATAAAATAAAATAATTATTTATTAGTATAAAAGCATTTATCTCATCAAACAATTTCTTACTTAAGCATACGAATAATGGTTATAATAAAAATTAGTATAGTACCTAGTTAAACATATTCATTTATCGCTCTTTAAAATGTCTAAAATTGTTTCTTTTGGTTTGCTGTTTCCAATATCAATTACTGCCCTATCTAAACAGAACATATTCATTTAAATAACACATTTATATTTAAATCTTTTTTGGAATATACTATGTATAATATGCATATACATTATATTTATATATATATATATATCAGGGGGATTATTTTAAGCATGCTCATCCTGTTTTATAGTTAAATTATGCATATTGTGTTAAAATTCAGATTTTTGGAATTTTTAAATACACTAAAAGAACATTTTTCGAATCATTTACATTTTTTATACAACTTAAAGATGATCTCATGACAATACAAACTTCAGTTTTTCAAATAGAAACCTTCCTTTTTATTTTTTATTAAGGAGCAAATTTTTTGTTGAACATTTTTATGTATCTAAATCAAAATTCAAGCAAGTAGTTTTTGAGTAATGTAACTTTAGACGATTTGAAAAAGTTAGCAATTAGATACTATTGATTTATCGATATAAATAATTTGTAAAAATGGTCCAAGTATAATAAATACTACATCTAACATTACATATTATAGTTTTTATTTTTACAAAACTATTTTTAAGGATTATTATCGGATTATCCTAAGTATAGACATTTTATTAACTCAAAAACTACTCATTAGAATTTTAATTTAGATACATCAA